TTCATAAGGTTGATGTGGGATTTAAACAGAAAATGTCAGTAAAGCCCTTAGCATTAACCTGGTGCATAGTAAATGATCAACAAAGGGTTGCTGTTGTTATGCTGTTATTATTATATTTATTTTTCCTTTACCTCCACTTGCCTAGGGGAGAGGAGTAACTGGCTCCCTCCCTCCATCATTAGGAGTTCTTCAGTGGAGAGCTCTGACAGCCACTGTAGAGGAAATGCATGCACCAGGCTGTCCAGCACTTAGCTGTGTCAGAAGTAATTTACTACTATCAAAGATTAAGAACAAAGACTTTTCTTACAAATTAGAGCAAATTCAAAGTCATCCCTACAGCAGAGTTACTTTCAGGCGCCCACATTCTGACTTTGCATTCCTCGGAGGAAGAGAAAGGGGTGAGGCTGTCACTAGACAAACGGAACTGCACACCATGGGCTGGCTACTCCATGGGGGCAGGTGGTGGGCAGGCCATGGGGGCCAAAGCCAGTAGTAAAGCTTGGCCTGGTGCTCTGATTTCCAGAACTGACGGGGGCCAGTCCCTCCCCCAGTGTCCCCTTTGCAGTAGTCCTTCCCTCAAGCAGAAATTTGTATATTATGGAATGTGGAAATAAGACCACCCGAATGAAAACAAGCAAAGGCTGTTTATTCAGAGCTTGTTATAGCAAGGGAGTCAGCCACCCTCACTTGAGTTTGGCAGAGACTCAAAGGCAGGCAGGAGAGCNGTCCTTTCTCTGTGGGTGTGTCCAAATTTCCCTCTTATAATCATATTGTTAGACCATCTGGCATGGCCCAAGGCCCCCAGGAAACTGTGAAACTCTTATCAAGCAGGGCATTCCAAGAGTTTAGAGGTCATCTCCCAGGAGCCAAGGGCAAAGGCCAGATCTTTCTTTGGGTAAAGTTAATTCTTTACTACACAGCTTTACTCTGCAGATAAACTTTCTCTCCACATGGTAGGAAAGATGACCACCAATAGTCCCAAATCAACAGCCTCCCTATTTAGTAGACATAACTTCTTTCTTCTACTGTCCAAACTTCAAGTCTAGAGAAGTTAATTTATAATTGGCCTTGCTTGGGTCACACAGTCACTTCTTGAGCCAGTTACTGTTGCCAAATAAATGGAACACCATGGTTGGCCAGGCCTGGTTTACATGCCCATGCCTATGGGTATGGATCGAGGGTCTGTATCCATAAAAAAGGGGACAGAAATACTTTCTAGGCAAACAAAGAAATAATACTGCAACAGACCATGTACAAGCTTAATTTAAGACAATGCCAGCAGTGGTGTTCAGTGAGGAGTCTATGCATGACTCTAAGGTTTCTGGTTTAGATGGCTGGGTGCGTGAAGTGCCATTCATTAAGAAAGAAAAGACAGAAAGAAACAGGTCATGCTAAGGACAGATGATGGGGAGATAATGAGGACAGTTTAAGACATACTGAGTTTGAGATGTCAATNGACCGTTTGGAGCCAATCGCTGCAGAGATTTGGGTTTGGTTTCCTGGAGTGGTTGCTGCAGAGGTTGTAGTTCGGGGTTCTATTTTTTCATAAAGTCTGGCCATTGTCCCTTTGTATATTAAGTCTCTCAAGAATGAATCAGCCCCTGTGTTGTATCTTAAGTGCATGTGCGTGCGTGAAGGGGTGGCATCTGTCTGACAGAGTGAAAGTCTATCTTTTTCACTGGCTCATTCAGCCAATAAACAGTTTAAAGCAAATTAATAATGAGAAATAATTTTGCTGTGAACCTAACACTGCTCTAAAAACTAAAGGCTATGAAAAAATAAGATAAAATCATAATTCAAAAGGTACTTTACTTAATAGAGGAAGGTGGCCGTCGGTCCACGCCCCTAATGCAGTATTTCAGAGTTGTCTTACTGGGTAGAGATGTACCTTCTTTCCGTCCCCCTTGACTACTCGAAGGGCAAAACGGGAACCTAGGGCAGCCCCGGGCGAACACAGGCGTCTGCTCCAGCCGCCAGGGGTGTCAAGTCTTTAGGGAACTCTCAGAGGCAGGAAGGAGGAAACGTGTCGACAACAAACTAAGACACTTTGGGGTGAAGGACTTTGAAGCTGGAATCCTGAGGCTCAGAGGGAACGAGCTGGGGGTTTTCAGACTCTCGGTGCACCCCACGCGCAAAACCACACCAATGAGACACATTTTCACAGTTCAGCTTTCTGTTCACACAAAACGTTAAGGCAGGAGGCCATGAAAGGGAAGATCATTGCATTTATACGGTAACTACCAAGCCGGCCAAATATCTTGGGGTCGCTTCTCAATCTGCACTTAGGAAACCTCGGCACATCCCTTCACGTACCCCTCGTCCCGGCCTCGTCGGAAAGAGGACGGTCCCCGCAGGCCGCGAGGCAGCTGGCGAGGGCGCAGGGCGGGCACAGTGCAGCCGAGAGTGGTGCGCGGGGGGCGGGCCGCGGGGCTTTACGGTAACGCTGCGGGAGGCCCGCGGGGCTT